AATGGATCCCCCCCCCCCCCCCCCCCCCCCCCCCCCCCCCCCCCCCCCCCCCCCCCCCCCCCCCCCCCCCCCCCCCCCCCCCCCCCCCCCCCCCCCCCCCCCCCCCCCCCCCCCCCCCCCCCCCCCCCCCCCCCCCCCCCCCCCCCCCCCCCCCCCCCCCCCCCCCCCCCCCCCCCCCCCCCCCCCCCCCCCCCCCCCCCCCCCCCCCCCCCCCCCCCCCCCCCCCCCCCCCCCCCCCCCCCCCCCCCCCCCCCCCCCCCCCCCCCCCCCCCCCCCCCCCCCCCCCCCCCCCCCCCCCCCCCCCCCCCCCCCCCCCCCCCCCCCCCCCCCCCCCCCCCCCCCCCCCCCCCCCCCCCCCCCCCCCCCCCCCCCCCCCCCCCCCCCCCCCCCCCCCCCCCCCCCCCCCCCCCCCCCCCCCCCCCCCCCCCCCCCCCCCCCCCCCCCCCCCCCCCCCCCCCCCCCCCCCCCCCCCCCCCCCCCCCCCCCCCCCCCCCCCCCCCCCCCCCCCCCCCCCCCCCCCCCCCCCCCCCCCCCCCCCCCCCCCCCCCCCCCCCCCCCCCCCCCCCCCCCCCCCCCCCCCCCCCCCCCCCCCCCCCCCCCCCCCCCCCCCCCCCCCCCCCCCCCCCCCCCCCCCCCCCCCCCCCCCCCCCCCCCCCCCCCCCCCCCCCCCCCCCCCCCCCCCCCCCCCCCCCCCCCCCCCCCCCCCCCCCCCCCCCCCCCCCCCCCCCCCCCCCCCCCCCCCCCCCCCCCCCCCCCCCCCCCCCCCCCCCCCCCCCCCCCCCCCCCCCCCCCCCCCCCCCCCCCCCCCCCCCCCCCCCCCCCCCCCCCCCCCCCCCCCCCCCCCCCCCCCCCCCCCCCCCCCCCCCCCCCCCCCCCCCCCCCCCCCCCCCCCCCCCCCCCCCCCCCCCCCCCCCCCCCCCCCCCCCCCCCCCCCCCCCCCCCCCCCCCCCCCCCCCCCCCCCCCCCCCCCCCCCCCCCCCCCCCCCCCCCCCCCCCCCCCCCCCCCCCCCCCCCCCCCCCCCCCCCCCCCCCCCCCCCCCCCCCCCCCCCCCCCCCCCCCCCCCCCCCCCCCCCCCCCCCCCCCCCCCCCCCCCCCCCCCCCCCCCCCCCCCCCCCCCCCCCCCCCCCCCCCCCCCCCCCCCCCCCCCCCCCCCCCCCCCCCCCCCCCCCCCCCCCCCCCCCCCCCCCCCCCCCCCCCCCCCCCCCCCCCCCCCCCCCCCCCCCCCCCCCCCCCCCCCCCCCCCCCCCCCCCCCCCCCCCCCCCCCCCCCCCCCCCCCCCCCCCCCCCCCCCCCCCCCCCCCCCCCCCCCCCCCCCCCCCCCCCCCCCCCCCCCCCCCCCCCCCCCCCCCCCCCCCCCCCCCCCCCCCCCCCCCCCCCCCCCCCCCCCCCCCCCCCCCCCCCCCCCCCCCCCCCCCCCCCCCCCCCCCCCCCCCCCCCCCCCCCCCCCCCCCCCCCCCCCCCCCCCCCCCCCCCCCCCCCCCCCCCCCCCCCCCCCCCCCCCCCCCCCCCCCCCCCCCCCCCCCCCCCCCCCCCCCCCCCCCCCCCCCCCCCCCCCCCCCCCCCCCCCCCCCCCCCCCCCCCCCCCCCCCCCCCCCCCCCCCCCCCCCCCCCCCCCCCCCCCCCCCCCCCCCCCCCCCCCCCCCCCCCCCCCCCCCCCCCCCCCCCCCCCCCCCCCCCCCCCCCCCCCCCCCCCCCCCCCCCCCCCCCCCCCCCCCCCCCCCCCCCCCCCCCCCCCCCCCCCCCCCCCCCCCCCCCCCCCCCCCCCCCCCCCCCCCCCCCCCCCCCCCCCCCCCCCCCCCCCCCCCCCCCCCCCCCCCCCCCCCCCCCCCCCCCCCCCCCCCCCCCCCCCCCCCCCCCCCCCCCCCCCCCCCCCCCCCCCCCCCCCCCCCCCCCCCCCCCCCCCCCCCCCCCCCCCCCCCCCCCCCCCCCCCCCCCCCCCCCCCCCCCCCCCCCCCCCCCCCCCCCCCCCCCCCCCCCCCCCCCCCCCCCCCCCCCCCCCCCCCCCCCCCCCCCCCCCCCCCCCCCCCCCCCCCCCCCCCCCCCCCCCCCCCCCCCCCCCCCCCCCCCCCCCCCCCCCCCCCCCCCCCCCCCCCCCCCCCCCCCCCCCCCCCCCCCCCCCCCCCCCCCCCCCCCCCCCCCCCCCCCCCCCCCCCCCCCCCCCCCCCCCCCCCCCCCCCCCCCCCCCCCCCCCCCCCCCCCCCCCCCCCCCCCCCCCCCCCCCCCCCCCCCCCCCCCCCCCCCCCCCCCCCCCCCCCCCCCCCCCCCCCCCCCCCCCCCCCCCCCCCCCCCCCCCCCCCCCCCCCCCCCCCCCCCCCCCCCCCCCCCCCCCCCCCCCCCCCCCCCCCCCCCCCCCCCCCCCCCCCCCCCCCCCCCCCCCCCCCCCCCCCCCCCCCCCCCCCCCCCCCCCCCCCCCCCCCCCCCCCCCCCCCCCCCCCCCCCCCCCCCCCCCCCCCCCCCCCCCCCCCCCCCCCCCCCCCCCCCCCCCCCCCCCCCCCCCCCCCCCCCCCCCCCCCCCCCCCCCCCCCCCCCCCCCCCCCCCCCCCCCCCCCCCCCCCCCCCCCCCCCCCCCCCCCCCCCCCCCCCCCCCCCCCCCCCCCCCCCCCCCCCCCCCCCCCCCCCCCCCCCCCCCCCCCCCCCCCCCCCCCCCCCCCCCCCCCCCCCCCCCCCCCCCCCCCCCCCCCCCCCCCCCCCCCCCCCCCCCCCCCCCCCCCCCCCCCCCCCCCCCCCCCCCCCCCCCCCCCCCCCCCCCCCCCCCCCCCCCCCCCCCCCCCCCCCCCCCCCCCCCCCCCCCCCCCCCCCCCCCCCCCCCCCCCCCCCCCCCCCCCCCCCCCCCCCCCCCCCCCCCCCCCCCCCCCCCCCCCCCCCCCCCCCCCCCCCCCCCCCCCCCCCCCCCCCCCCCCCCCCCCCCCCCCCCCCCCCCCCCCCCCCCCCCCCCCCCCCCCCCCCCCCCCCCCCCCCCCCCCCCCCCCCCCCCCCCCCCCCCCCCCCCCCCCCCCCCCCCCCCCCCCCCCCCCCCCCCCCCCCCCCCCCCCCCCCCCCCCCCCCCCCCCCCCCCCCCCCCCCCCCCCCCCCCCCCCCCCCCCCCCCCCCCCCCCCCCCCCCCCCCCCCCCCCCCCCCCCCCCCCCCCCCCCCCCCCCCCCCCCCCCCCCCCCCCCCCCCCCCCCCCCCCCCCCCCCCCCCCCCCCCCCCCCCCCCCCCCCCCCCCCCCCCCCCCCCCCCCCCCCCCCCCCCCCCCCCCCCCCCCCCCCCCCCCCCCCCCCCCCCCCCCCCCCCCCCCCCCCCCCCCCCCCCCCCCCCCCCCCCCCCCACCCTTTTTTCTTTTCCTCCTTCTCCTTTCCTTTCTGTGAAGACGAGCTCCCTACCTTTGAGAAGAGAGCTTCCTCGCCGTTGATATATTTCTCTACTTTGGCCAACACCTCAGCCATGCGTGCTTGAGGATTCTTAGATATGGAGAACATCAAATCTTTCAACTGTACTCCCAATCCTGCTATGAAAGCAGTGATTGCAAATTTTTCGTCTGGGACATCAACTTTTAGGGACTCAGTTGAATCTTTGAACATAGGATCTTAGGTTCTCCTGAGGTCCCTGTTTCACATTCAGTAAATAGTAGCTTGGCTTTCTGTATATTTGAGCTCCAATGAAATGAGATACAAAGGATATCGAGAGCTCTTTAAACGAGGAGATCGAGACCGGAGAAGTCGGTTAAACCATACTAAGGCTAATCCTTTCAAGGTTATCTCAAAGGCGCGGCAACAAACAAGATCTTGATATCTGTGCAACTCCATTTGATTTTTGTAGATATTCAGGTGGTCCATAGGGTCTCTGGTTCCATCAAAAGCTTCTACTTGTGGCATTCTGAATTTCGGCGGGAGGGGGAAATGCAATATCCCAGGAGTAAACGGGGACTCGATTTGCTATACTAAGGCGTCCATTGTTACTGGGGTTTTACTCCGCACAGCCTCCTTCATGTGGCTGAGTTCCTGTTGAATATCTTTGAATCGTTGCTCCCAATATTGGTTATTTCGCTCTTGTTGGACTGGGCGAAGGTTGTTCTTTTCATTCTCATTACTTCGGCTTTGTACCTCTTCATTGTCTCCATTCCTTAGAGGAGGTTAGGGAGCCTAGCTATTTTCTCCTCCTTCGTCGGCTTCCCTGAACAGGTCGAGAGGTTGCTGTTCCCAGTGAAGGGGATCATTCTGGCCTCCTTGGGCTGGTTGCTTCTCCTGTGATCGCTGTAAAAACTTCAGGAGTTCTTCATTCTACTTTAGCAGGCATTGATTGACCAAACGGAGGGCTTCCAGCTCGTTGTTCGTGGGAAGATCCACCATAGGAGGATTAACGTCGACGGTGGGGAAGAAATCTTGTGGATCTTCATGTTGTCTGCTAGTATTCTCCTGCTGGTGCTGCATCCGAGGGGGATTGACTTGGCTTCTGCTCATATTTCGGGTTGAGACCATCAGGTACTGAAGGATTAGTGTATTTGCAACGAGAACAATCGTTTCTCACAAACGGCGCCAAACTGATGGTGTAAACTGAAGTGGATGAGCAGAGGATATGGATTATGCTTATCGACTTGGATCTGAGCTACAAAGCTCGTGAGGATTGTGTTTATAATTACTAGGGGATTGGGGTGATGTGCACAACAAAAATATAGTGGTTCACTAACTCGGGAGCTCGGCTAATCCACTCTTCAATGGAGGCTCTGGCCCTTTTTCTCTTTATTCGTGGAGGATTTAACTTACAGAGTTTCTTCTATGATCTTCGATTTTTTTCCTTTTTTTTTCTCTCAAGGAGGCAAAGTATAGTATTTATAGCACGATTTGTATCACTAAGGGATCTTCAGCGAGATCCTTGCTCGTTAACCACAGAACTTTTCTTGATTTTAAGAGGAGATCTTGGGTGGTTTAGAGTTTCACACCTTGATCACTGCCACTTTGCTGTTTTTGTGGACGCTTCTTTCTGTCTAGCTGTTCTTTCCTTGACTTCTCTGGTCTTTCATCGGAGAGGAGCTCGGGATTTGGGCTTCAGAGCTCTGGCCTCATTGCCCGACTTGGCTTCCCGAACTCATACTTAGTAAAAATTCTTTATTCATGCATCATCACATGTAAGCTTCTTACACACACTAAAATCCCTTAAAAATACTTAAAACACTCATTCTATTTTCCCCTCTACGGGACACACTGTTCATACTTCATTAAATTGGAATTCCAACAAACTATTTAAGTCCTTTTTTTTTGTCTTTTCTTGAGATGTTATGTGTCGCGAGTTTTCAACATAAGAACCGTTAAGAGAGCTTGACTTATATACTTGAGAGGCTGCTCCACCCATTGTCAATTGATTTTGGGTTGGATGCTCTAACATGGTATCAAAGTTGGGTCTCCATCATAGCTTGACAACCTTGGCACGTTCACATTGGAAGCTGCCCACTGGGAACAAGGGGAAGAGGGCCACCTTCACCTCCATGGAGACCACCATTTCAATCACTTCTTGCATCTCTTAAAATTGTTTATAGGATTCTGCAACCACAGCATTCAACATAAAGTTTTATGATGGAATTTTTTATACAACTTAATTCCTTGCAAATTGCCAATAGTTTAATAAACAAATTTCTTGACCTATATTTTCTATTGTATGGAGTGATATAGGAAAAAGGTTCAAACAGTCCCAAATATATTCAAAAAAATAATTGGATTCTTTAGATGTGGTAACTACTATAGACAATAAAACAACCAGAATTGATCTGATCCGCGAAAAGCTTGAGATAAGTTTTGGGGTTCAAAACGTGTTCTACTTTATTATATAGATGCTTAATTTAGGTTGTTATGCTTGAGCTCATGTCCTAGTCTGGCATGACCTATGGCTGTAACTACCCCAAAATACCATATCTGTCTTCGATAATGCCCACACTATGTGTTATCCTTTTACATTCTCATATGTGCTAAATGAAATCTACTTTTGCACTTGCAATTGAATAAGACTTGAAAGGTTTCACCATACCTAGTCAGGCTCTAGTAAGGAAGGCAGATCAAGAAGTGGTGGACATGCTTCCAACATCTGTGGAGATTGTGCCTGGGGATGTGGGTGATCCCTCCACTCTCAAAGCTGCTGTGGAAGGTTGCAACAAAATAATATATTGTGCCACAGCTCGTTCCTCTATCACCGGAGATCTCAATAGAGTTGATCATCAGGGCGTTTACAACCTTACCAAAGCGTTTCAGGTTTCCTCCCTTCTCTAACCTTCATTTGGTCTGTATTTATGTAGTGTCATCATGTGTGTGTGTCCCTGCACAAGCTTTGAGGACTTACCTATTGTTTGAATATTGGGTTGGAATTGAATGTGCTATTCATTATTTATGGATATCGTTTCACTTGTTTAAGATTGAGGGATTAAACAAAAGATCTCAGTTAATTTAGGGTGCAATTTTTATGGCTGGCATTAAGATTCAGATGGGGATTCTAAATCAGGAGAGAGAGAGAGAGAGAGTTTCAGTGCAGAAGATGAGCCTGTGCAGTTTCATAGTTGATTAAAAACCACTAATACCTCTCCTGGTTTGGATTTGGAGCTTACATTGGTTTTAATGTTACTTGAAATAGTTTTATTGGTCAGCCTAGAATCTGTTCAAGGTTCTAGCCTGTCCGAATACAAGGTCTGGGTGTTTGAGGTGTGCATCAAGACACAATCTAGGCTTTTGTTGTCTGACAATGTTTTAAAATTTGGATTGCTATACAAACTAGAATAGAGACTAAGTAGGAACGGGGATCAGCCATTCAACTTTCAGACAAACCAGAACCAACCGTCATGACATGATCACCTCATACTTTTTTTTGGCAATTTTAAAAAATCGTATGGTCTTGTTTATTTACTATTGTTGGAATTCCAAATACTGTAGAGCCTCCCCTAGTGTGAAATAGGCCCAAAGTAACCTAATAGCTCGGAACTGCTCAAAAGTGTTTAAGAATTTCCAAATTAATCGACCATTTTTAATTTATGTTCTAAGCCTCATACCTTGGATTTCCTGAATTGCAAGATGTTCACTGGGCTTTTGCTGCATTTATGTGCACAGAAACATGCACAGGCTCACATGAATGTACTTCGAATAAAGGGAGTGACAGAGGAAGAGAGTTCAAACTTCTCTGATGCATTTATCAGAATTCACAAATAGAGAGTGATATTTTTCTTAACAATAAAACAGAGAAAACCAATTACCTGCACATATGATAACATGGAAATCATAAATTATAGTGAAGATACCCTCAGAAGGTTACACTGAAAATACTCAAAAGGAAGCTTGTAGTTAAAAAATAATAATAATAATGAGTCAACCTCCACCATCCGCCAGCCAGCCTACATGGTAGCTGGTCATCAATTGATCCTATGGTTGTGACAAAGCCACACAGAGGTTCTAGCAGTATGAGACTGGGACATTTAGCTAACTTATTTTCCACTAAATACTAATTCTTTAGACCCTAACCAGACTGTTCGTTTGAACTATAAATGGTTCATGCAGGTTGCCATTTCACTCATTGGTTCTTGCAACCTTGCAAAGTAGAATGGTAACTTCATATTTTTGGACCACGTCTTGGTCCAAGCAGTCAGACTGCAGGGTCCAATTCAGTTTTAGTCAAAGATCAAAATTTCATTTCGAAACGGCTGAAGCGTTTATATTTCTCTTTCTGAGGAAACTGAAGCAAATTAGTAATTGAATCGAAATTCGAATGTTTTGAGTTGTTTCATAATATTTTGAGGTGTTTCGAAATATTTCGAGAGATTTCAAGATGTTTTGACATTTTTCCCCAAATGTTTTGATATGTTTTGGTATATTTCGACCAATATTTTGAAATATTGTGAAAATAAATTCTCAAATTTTTTTTTATTGGTTTCCATTCTATTTCTGAAGCATTTTCGAAACGTTTCAATTTCCTAGATGACCGTAACAATGCACCGAAATAAAATTTTAATCCTTGGTTGTTTTAAAATTGTTTGTTTTTCATTTAA